TTAATAATAATTGCAAATTATTAAATTTAACATGCATTAGGCTTCATTATTTTCAGCTTCAGTTATTTCATTTTGTTTGTTTTGTTGTTTGCATTTTTCATCAAGATCCTTTTGCAAAATTTCTTCATTTTCATTGCTTTCATCACCCTCTATAACAATTTCTTCAGGATCAGGAGCCCTTGGAAGGAATTCGGAATCTGGGTACATCTTTTCAAAAATCCCTTTTGCCTTAACAAAAACAGGGAGCATATTAAAATATGAAATAAACTAAAAAATCACACTTACAATTTTTATCGAAGGGTCATAATCCAAATCAGAATCTGGTCCAGAACAAACGAAAATGTTAGGAAGATCTTTTTGAAAATTAAAATCGTTCGAAACGGGTACTGAAAAATAGAAAGACCACAATAACTGTGGTCTGTTTTCAACATCACCGCCTTCAATATTGACATTTTCTGCTGATTTTGTAAATAAAGTATCTACGTAATATTTTAAATCATCGTATGGGTTATTAGATTGATCGGTCATCATGTGAACAAGATCTAAAATAAATAAGTTTGAGGAAAAAGAATCTAAAAGAAAAAACTAATGTAACTCACACAGTCCTTTAGGACACGTTCCTGTTAAACTTCCCATTTCAAGGATTGTAACTGGATTTTTATCATTCATGGGAGGGAACAAAAGGAGGGATAAATGTTCTTTTTCACTTTCTAATAGTGACCTGGAATTTTTTATAATATTTTAATTACGAATTTAAAGACATAACTTTAATAATAATACAGAAAAAAAGAATAAAAAATAAAGTAAGAAGTGAAATAAACAAGTACATTAATTTTCACTTCATACCTCATCATATCTTCAATAAATGTGCCATGTTACAATTTTTTGTCAAATTTCGGCTTTTTTGAACAGAGTTAAGCTCAACTAAATATATTGGGGATATACAGCAAAGGCACAACAGGGAAATATAGATTTCTAAGGTTTTTTCGCGGAATGCGGAGGCTCAGCATGATTAATATGCAGATTACATTTTATTCAGTTTTCATTATGAGGTATTCACACGATCGAGTGTATGCAGAAATTGAATAGGAATTGCAATTTGGGGTTACAAACTAACTTGTGAGTCTTGTAAAATTATGTAAGAATTTAACAGGCAGAGAATAACACAAAAACTGTTCTCAAAAATCATCATTACTAAAGTTACATTAACCAGTTACTTAAAAACACCATCCTCATAATTAAAAAAGTATTTAAGAGAATATGTCCTACTTCAAATATTTAAATGCTAGTGTCTTGCTCATACTCATTTGAAGATGTTAAAGTTTAGCAAAACAGCAATTACAATTTGTGCGCTCTTGTTTACCCGTTTTTTTTTTTAATATAAATTTTCATCAAGTGGAAATTATAGTCAAATTTAGCACACAGACTTTTTATTTTTATTGTACCTGTCAGTAATAAAAATTCCTCTGGAAAGTCTTAAAGGTTTAATGTGATCCACAAATGCTTTAGGAGCTTTATCTAAACCAATTACTATTTTTGAAGAATTAATTTGTTGATTCCCACACATTATACCTTTATAATTATTTTTATCATCCATCACTACCCCTTGTAAAGACTGGGATAAAGCATATGTTGCTCCAAACACTGCACTCAATCTATAAAAAGATAACAAAATTATATGTGTAAAAAATATCTACTTACATAATACAATTTACCTGCAAAATGCTTGAGGAATTTCACCACTACCATACATGGAATAAAGAAATGGCGTTTTTCCATACCTTCCTAAGCTATTAAGAAATCTTTTTATCCTCTCAACTCCATCTCTACATGATGTCTTTTCAGTTCCCATAGCAATAGCATACAAGATATAATGAATTAAATTTGCAGTAAGTTTTTGGTCTTTTAGGAATGCATGGAATGTTTTATTTTCATATTCTGGAAAATTATGTATTAAAAGAACTTTAGACTAATGAAACTGTTAAACTTACCAGCAAAGTCCTGGTCAGTGCTATCTAAACAAACATTCAGCAGTTTCATTAGCATTCGTTTTTCAACAACTGTAACATTATTACTAGAAAACACATCGCTTCTTGAACAGGGAACAACTTCTAGCTTATTATTAAGCCAAGTTAGGACCCTACTTACACTCCTAAATTCGGAGTATCTTGCAATATTAGAAGAAATCAATAATTCCACAAATTCACCTCTTGCAAAGTGAAGCTACAATAGATATTGTTTAACTCCAGAATTTATTTTACAATATTACTAACCTTTGGTAAAAGATCAATATTGAATTTTCTAGATAGTGCCAGAAGTTTATTTTTCGTCCAATTCTCATTCTCAATAATTTGTTGTGGATCATCTTCAATGGTGCATTCATTCAACTTTTCAATATTGCCTCTATTATTTGAACAGACAATATATAATGAGTCAAAATGTAGTACAGAATAGTACTTACTCAGAAACATGCCATTCTTCTTTAATGTTAGTTATGGAAAAATTGTTATTACCAAAAGTTAAACATTCCTTAGTAGCATCAGATTCACTTTGAGGTGTACTTCCAGATATTTTGCTAATGGAGTCTAAAGTAAATGATGCCCATAAACCACCATAGTAGCTGTTACTATCAGCGTGCAATACGTTCTTTCCTATTCTACTTGCAGCTGCAGCAATAATCGATTCTGTTAATCCTACGAAAATTAAATAGTAACCACACTTATAAGAAGCAATTAGCACTTTCTGTCTTCACCAACCTGTACCAATTACTATTAAATCAAATTCAGATGGAAGCTCGCCTTCCATATTTTATAAAACAGCAATAATTTTGCAAATTTTACTAATAATTTAGATAAAAATATGATATTTATAAAGGTTAGAGTTTTTAAACGTCAAATGTCTATGTCATAGATAATAGATACACAAAGGGTCTATGTCTATCAGTTTGTCAGTGAGAAAGGTGGGGCAAACGACCAAACAAACCATAGCAAAATTAATATTAGGAATAAAATGAAGGTGAAAATCAAAATAAATAATTTGTAGGAAAAGCCATTTACTCGTTGTGAGAAATAGATTCTTTCATTGATAATGTATTAACTTAAAAGAAAATGTGGAAAGTAATATTTAACATTTATGTATATAATTAATGAAAGTGATTATGCTGCTCTATAAACTTTGCTTTGAATCTATGGACATGTGTTTCTGGTTTCTGGTTTGACATTTTGCAATAACCACAAATTTGAGGATTCAAAATACCAGTCATCGTTCTTCAATAGTGTAATAATTGCTTCAAACTTTTAAAAACGTTAATTTAACAGGTTATAAGTTTGTAAAGATAAATAATTGTTCGTAAAAATGGTTAGTTGAATTAATAGTATAAGTAGTTTTGATCTGTAAGTGATTTACTTTTAGAGCTTCGCCCTTCCTTCTATTAAACCAAAATCTGACCTACCAAAAGATGCTGGCATACCAGAAGGACCTTATGGGGTTCCTGATGTAATGACGTACGGCTTTACTTCAGTAAAAGCAAATTTAGAGGCGTCACATCCTCTATATGCATCAGAAAAAAACGTAAGTTAAGGGTCTATATTTCACAAGTAAATTTACTTGATTAATTATTTGGGTAACTTTATCCTTTTACTCATTATGAAATATATTACAGTACAAAGCAAACCGTGACAACATGAATTTGGTAATGCTTCGTAATATTCAAGGCTTACATGCTCCTTTGAAAATAAGTATGGAACTAAATGCTGCAAGAAAGATTGGGCATTTGCCATTTTTACCTTCCTCCAATGTAATGCTTGATTCACTAACAGGAAAAGATCTAGAAATAGGAGCTGAAGACATTTTTGGAATCCCAGAGTTTTGGGAAGTTCAAGGACAACCCCATGCTGTTTGTGAAAAAGCTTTAGGTTTATTATAATTGATATCTTTCATTTAAAATGTAACTTTGCTTTTTATACATAATAATTAAATATACTGTCTTACTGAATCCATTTTTTTTAATTCTATTCTTAATGTATTCAAAAACTAAAAATAAGTACGTACATCCTTATTCAAAGAGTTACTTTTTATTCAATTAATAAAATAATAAGATAGGTTTATTACGTGTCTTATTAAATCACTTAATCATTAAAATATGAATACATTAAATCANAGTTACTATCATCTTGCTATAATCAGAAATTATTATAGTTTTAAAGTGAAAATTCTGTGTTAGGGTTTTAAAACTCTCTAATGAAAATTCGTTGTTGTGGTTGCAGTTTCTTTTTGTTTAATAAGCCTGTCCTTACGAAACGAAAATCCATTTGTCTTGAAAATAGATACATTGCAGGTGCTGTTGCATCATTGCTGTAAACCATCGTTATATCTGGTACTTCCCCTATCGTGTTAGCTTAAGTTACGTATTTTATTTGTAGGACCTATATGTCAAGTACATCTACACAATGTAAGTACATACTGTACATCCTACATAGATCATTATTAGGTGATTAATAGTACCTAGTTATAAATTAATTGCGTTCTGCAAACCTTAAGGCATTGAGTATATTTTCATTAGATAGGACTATAGACGTTTTAAATGTAGTAATTCAGCATTTATACACTTAAAGGGCTTTGAAGTTGTTTTTTGTAATTTCAAAATTAATATAGAAAAATGTAACAGAAAAATTGAAAGAGCTGGCTAATGGTCACACCTAAATGGGTACATTATACATACCTACAGTTAGTTGCAGGTTGACGAGTTGGCAACCAACAACACAAAACATACAGGGGAATCCCCTAATATTATTTTCGAACTGTTCGTATAATCCAGCCATTTAGAATAGTTGCTTGTTTAACTACACCAACAGATTGAGTTGAGGAATATCTACAATGGGACAAGAATATTTAAATGAGCTCACTTTAATGATTATAGAAAATACTTATTAAGAATATATAATAAATTAAGAAGTTTTTTTTGTAAATGTGTTGTGTTATTGTATATCTTAATTCCTAAACTTTAACACCAAGAGCCTCTTGTTCGAATTTGCTACAGACCCCAGAGTAGCACCCTATCAATATTATAGGCAGTTTATCTTATCATTTATTTTAACTGAAACAGTTAAGAATTTTTTTCGCTAAGCACCCACTTGGTGTATCGATTTATTAATTAGAAACTGTACCTACTAAACATAACAAAAAATGCGCAGGCATGACTATTTCATATGAATTAAACAGTTCCGCTTTTTATCGCGTTTATCTTAATCCAAACCAAGGGAATAAATTTCGTTTGTCGGCAACTAATTATTCGTTTTTTTCATGTTCGTGATAAAAATTGAAACACCTGCTTTGTTTAAGCTCCACCTTCGATGAGAGTCCGCCTCTAGGTGAATGTATTTTCTAGCACGAACCGCCATTTCAGATACTTAATATCCGTAGGTAAAATTGTAAATGAGGGGCTTACCCGTACACGCATCAGCATGTGTGTTAAAAAGTTTTCGTAACCGGTTAGCCATCAGCTTTTATTGTGTCGAAAAGCTGTCGACACGCATCTGAATTAAGTTATTGTTTTTGGAATGATTTACAATTTTGTTCATAAAAATAAAATGTTTCTTTCATATGCACGCTGTACCTAGCTAATAAGTAAGTTTATAACCCTCTTGTTTAAATCTACCTAAGGTTTAAATAAACTAGAAATAGTCATATGCATATTATTGTAAATCAAGTAAATCAAGCTCCTAGCCAATAAGAGGGAAAATGGTGGAGAATACTCCGCTTCCCCATTCCGAATATCTGCTGCAGTTGGTTTTTCAACTTCTATTATTAATGAGAAAACATAAAAAACTCACCATTACATCTAAAAGCACCTGATGTATAACTGCTTGAGAAATTCAATTGTCTTTGCCTAGAATATAGCCATTTTTACCTGGAGGCATGCCCCATGTACCGTGCGGACCTCATGTGGCTAATGAGGGGCATGCCGATATAGGGATTTCCCCGTAGATTGCTAATGAAAATCCCACCGAAAAAAGGAGTGATACTAAAATGAGGATTACCTTATGGGTTTTTCATATGGGTCTTAAGGGGCAAACCTATCACATGTACTTAGAAACTTACAATTAAATCTACCTTATGGGGACTCGATGAGGCAAATCCATTTGAAAATAATAATAATCCTGTTACCCAATTATTTCGTCGTTTCAATGAAATCTTTTTCATTTGCAACGAACCAACAAATGTACTTCCTGTTATTGTTATTATAAAACAACCGAAACCAGACGCATCAGGTCCAACAATAATAAAACAATTGCAATTTAAAGTGTTACTGCCCAATAACACAATCTTACTTAAGAGAAAACAAATGTTACAATTAAGTTATATATAGATATGTATATTGTATTTTTTTTTTCATTAATAATAAAGTTCATTATTCCAAAAATTTTTAATGGGGTTGCAATAATTTTTCCCTGCGGGAGCCACATGCGACGTTCCTGATGATGCGCAAATGCAGCAAGGCGTTATATGCCCCTTCCTTGCCCTAAAGGGCAATCTCATGGGGCCCGCAAGAGGTAGTGTGCTTACACACTTAGGGACCCTACCTGCACTCCCCTCAAAATTCTAGTCGGGACCTATTATATATATTATAAATTTTTGACCAAGAACATAAACGTTCTTCAAAAATATGCCTTCAATACCGCCGCTTTGGTTAAAACAAAACAAATTGCATTTTCAATCAGTTAACTGGTTTTGGCAGATTCTAAAAATTAAATAAATATCTCTTTGAAACAAAGCGGTTTTCAAAAAATCATCGAAAGATGAAATAGTAGCAGAACAACCCAAAGACTAAAATTTTACCATATGGATTTTTACTCACGTTTTATAAAGCATTGTAAAGATTTTAGTATTTCACATAGTTTTATACCAAGACAATTCCGATTCCCGAACTTTGGTATTTTTATTGTCGCTAAGTTTTATTTCTACATCTTTATAACGTATTAGTAACTCTTCATCATTCCACTATTTTAATGACGTATATTTCTCATAAACAAGTTTGTGTTCTTTTTGACGAAACCCTTTGTAATCGAGTATTTGCAATAAAGAAATAAATTTTGTAGTATTGTTCACTATTAGCATCAATCATTGATTCATCTGTTGCTTTTATACTCAAATATCTTCTTTTCTCTTTGGAATTTCAGGAAAATAAAGATGGATATCCATCTGGTTTGCTATATTCGTTGGTAAAATGATAATTTAATATTCCTGAAACTTCGATTAGTCTTGCGACTCTTGTACAGGTATAATACGTTGGATATTTTGCGTAACTATTTGGATATTAAATAAATTAATACAGAATTCTGCATCATTAAGCATACAAAACTTAACAGATTGAGAGAGAGGGTCTGAGGTTCTGAGGGGCGTTTCAGGTTCTGAAGGGAACCCCTTTCCTAGAGCGTTTAGCAAACGCAAGGACCCACAAAAGTAAAATAACAAAACCTATTTTTTACCAGCCATTCTATTCAGATAGTTATTTACCCGAATTATCGGTATATTATTTGGTGGTTTTCAATATAGCTTAGACTCCATTGAGGTGAATTGTCCAAATGGGTATTAAACGAAAAGTTCATCTCCGTGTGGGATTCACTCATCTCCACCCTGGGCCGAAAATGGATCGTTACACCGTTGATCCAGGGCTTCGACCGTTCTCCAGTTTATCGTAGATTTAAGATTTATCATGTCATGACGAAAACAAAACGCAGAAATCGACTTAATACTGAATCAAAATTAAGATGAAAATTACAAATGAAGCCATATTGCTTCTAAAATCGACTCGATTTGCGACAAAATACAAGCCTATCCAATGCATATATTGTTGTTTGTACTATCTTTAATCTAAAATTAAGCAGAAAATTTTTTCTTATATTATATCGAAATTTTTTTATTCGCAATTTGTTTTCTGGGAAAAATAGGGGTTCTTGGAGCTATAAGTATTTATTGGGAACCCTGTTCTATAGGGTTGAGATCTAAACTGCGATGTGACCAATCCCTTTTGTGTCTCCAATCTTAATGTCCACTCCCTCTAAATATTTTTGTACTACACGAGAGACATATGGTCTCCCATAAATATGCATTAACAGGAAGTTATTGCGGCTGTGTGATGCAAAAGGGATAAAACATGCTGGGATAAATTGGGATGTAGCGTCTACTTATTAAGGAAAGAAACAATAAGCTATGTTCGAGCAGTCAGGCAAATTTCTATTCTTGCCAAATCATTACGAAAGTTTTATTTTAAATAATATCTGGTATCCAATTTAACGAAAAAATGCCTTTGCTTATATTTATATTTTATGTCAAAAAAATTGGCATTTAGAATCAATGTTAATTTTAAAAAATACATCGGAACACTCGGCCAGAGTATCCTGGATTCCTGATGTAGATAGATATAGTGAACTCGATGCTCTTTCAAATAGAAATGGTCAAATAAAAAACAATGATATGTTAAGGGTAGAATGTATATTACAAGAAAGTATAGAACTGAAAAGCCCTCTCTAAATAAAAAATAATACCTTTACCAACGTTGGAATCGTTGTTGACTACCTATCCTCGGAGTCCTACCGAAGATGAGGATTTTAATGTGGATTTCAGCTCCTTAAATAAACAGGAATGATCAACCCAAATAAAGAAATTGGCTCAATGGCTGGACATCTACTTTTTTGACTGCAGGTAGGGACAAGTTGTTCACCGCAAATAAGAATGACTGGTAATCTCTATCTAGAACAATTGTATCTGCTCTTTATAAAAGTATTGGATTTGTCTAGCAAAAACAACCAATGATGGTTATTACGAAAGCCCCAATAACTCTCAAGCTTTACCCTAGGACTCCAATGAGTAGTCTAACGATCCTCTTCGAGCACCTAATATAAATATTGCAGGAATCAAGAATGATAATTTAAACCATTGAAAATACACTCAAATTTAAGGGAAATGTTTAAAAATTTACCTAAAATTTTTCTT